CACAGTGCTGAAGCGACTGGAGACCACAGGTCCTTGGAAAAAACAGTCGAGGAATTGCAGCGCCAAGTTAAGGATTTAACATTAGCTCTAAAGAGCCGTGGTCGAAGCCGGTTCCCTTCCCGCCGGCGCTTCAGAAGTCGACCACGCTCGTCCAGCCGAGATAAGGATGCCACTCCTACTATGTGTTACTACCACCGAAGATTTGGGTCTAAAGCTTATTACTGCATCAAGCCGTGTACTTATACTGCGGTCGCGGAAAACAAAACCGCCAGCGAGTGAAAGCGACTAATCTCGCTGGCAAGGCATTTTCACCAAAACTTAGTCGCCTTTTTTATGTGACGGACACACGTAATAATTTACGTTTTTTGGTTGATACCGGCGCTGCCATTAGTGTCTTACCCGTGCGTGATAAAGCTCGTCAACAACCTTTTCAGCTCCGCTTACAAGCAGCAAATGGTTCCAGTATTAATACTTACGGTACGAAGTCCCTTACCCTAAACATAGGGATGCGACGAGACTTTACTTGGAATTTTACTGTTGCTGACGTCCAGATGCCGATACTAGGTGCCGATTTCCTGGCGCACTATGATCTCGCCGTGCGAATGAACAATCATTCCCTTACTGACAACTTAACAAGACTGTGTGTTCTTGGCACTTATTCTAAACTTACTACCACTGGCATCACCGTGGCAACGTGCCACAATAAAGAGTACTTAGACTTATTGAATCAGTACCAGGACCTCATGCGTCCTGCTGGATCTATTGATTCAACTAAACATCAAACACAGCACTTTATTAAGACCACTGGTCAACCTGTTTTTTCCCGTCCTCGTCGTCTAGCACCTAACAAATTAAAATTCGCAAAGAAAGCTTTCGACGACATGCTACGAGAGGGTGTTATTCGTCCGTCCGACAGTCCTTACGCTTCCCCTCTTCATTTAGTACCTAAACCAGGAAAGGAGGACTATAGAATTTGTGTGGATTATAGAAGATTGAATTCCATCACCGTCCGGGATCGTTATCCAATCCCCCACCTCCACGATTTCACTTCTGGTTTACAAGGCGCAAAGATTTTTACTAAAATAGATCTAGCAAAAGCATATTATCAGGTGCCAGTAGCTGCTGCTGATGTCCCAAAACTGCTGTTACTACACCTTTCGGTTTATTTGAGTTTTTTTGAAAATGCCTTTCGGCCTTTGCAACGCAGCACAGACATTCCAACGTCTTATGGACGAGGTTCTGCGTGGACTCCTTTTGTTTTCGATTACATTGACGACATTCTGATAGCTAGCGAGGACGCTGCCTCGCATAAACAACACCTACACGAAGTTCTTCAACGTTTGTCCCATTACGGATTTCGTCTAAACCTGGACAAATGTGTCTTCGGATCAGACCATATAAATTTTTAGGACATCACGTCGATGCAAATGGAATTGCCCTTTAACTGAAAAGATTAAAGCTATCACTGAGTTTCCCGTCCCTGTTTCTATTAAACAGTTGAGACGCTTTATAGGGATGATCAACTTCTACAGGAGGTTTATTCCAAACTGTTCTAACATCCTGACTCCCCTTACCAATTTATTACAGAAGAAGAAGAATAAGACTATTATACTTGAGAATGAAGCCTTGGACGCCTTTCGAGCAGCTAAAACCGCTCTAGGCAATTTTTCTAAGCTTAGTTTCTTAGAGGACGACCCTCAATCGGATATCTACCTGACCACTGACGCTAGCGAAACAGCAATAGGCGCGGTCATTGAACAAGTCAGTCCTTCTAAACGTAGACCTATAGCGTTCTTTTCCGCTAAACTTTCTCCTGCCCAGTCACGCTACAGTACCTTTTCTCGTGAACTGTTGGCTATATTTCGTGCCATTAAGCATTTCAGACACCTCCTCGAAGGTAGGTCCTTCGTTATTTTTACGGACCACAAACCTTTAACGTCCGTTATGTCCACTAATTCGGACAAATACACTGCGAGGGAGATCAGATACCTGGACTATATATCGCAATTTACTACTGATATTAGGTACATTAAGGGTTCGGATAACACCGTCGCCGATACCCTATCTCGTACTGAAATGTTCGTCGTGCATACTGATGCACTCAGTCAAGATTTGATCGCCGACGAACAGGAAGCGGACATAACTCTGAAGCATGTGTTATCAGACACTTCTTTAGAACTTCAGAAATGTCCAGCTCCTTTTAGTAACAAGGTCTTATACTGTGATGTAAAAATCCAAATCTCCAAGACCTTATGTTCCTCCGTCTCTTCGTAGACAGGTTTTGACCACCTACACGGACTCTCACACCCCTAGCAAAAGAGCCACAGTTAAGTTAATTTCGGACCGTTTCGTTTGGCCGAATATGAACGTTCACATTCGCGAATGGGTTAATACTTGTTTACAATGTCAGAAGTGTAAGGTGCATAGACACACAAAATCTCCCGTGGGCACTTTCAGTGAGCCTGATGCTCGTTTTACTAATATACACCTGGACTTAGTTGGGCCCTTACCAACCTGCCACGGTTATTCCTACCTTCTAACTATAGTGGATCGTTTTTTCCCGATGGCCTACTGCCATCCCTGTTAAAGATACCACTGCTGTGACTGTCGCAAAAGCTATTTTAAGCGACTGGATTTCGATTTTTGGAACTCCTAAAGTGGTTACTACAGATAGAGGAGCTCAGTTCCAGTCGTGTCTTTTCAAGGAATTCACTGAACTCCTTGGTGCAAAGCACATACGTACTACAGCGTATCACCCCTGTGCTAATGGCCTGGTGGAACGATTCCATCGCACCCTTAAGGCTTCGCTATCAACGAAGCATGAGAATAATAATTGGGTCGATGAATTACCCCTCATCCTTCTATCGTTAAGAAATATTCTTAAGGATGACTTGAAATGCTCCCCTGCAGAGCTTGTATTTGGTACTTCGTTATCTTTACCTGGCCAATATTTTTCACCAGCTGTGACCACACCACCAGTTTCTTCCTCTTTTATTCAGGACTTACGCCTTAAAATGGCAAACTTATGCTATACACCACCGCGGCACTGCCCGAGTGATATCTATTTACCGTTCCAGCTCAAAGACTGCGAATTTGTATTTGTACGTAACGACTCTGTTAAGCGGCCTCTTACGCCGGCCTACACAGGCCCATACCGCGTTCTTAAACGCGCGGACAAATATTTCCAAATACAAAAGGTATTCACACCGACAACGTTTCAATAGATCGGTTGAAACCTGCCTTTATAGAGAAAACCGTCGTCTCATACTACTTCCCAATCAACTCCGCAAGTTCAGGAGAATTTTAAGACACCTGTTTCTCTCGACAAAGCCTAAGTGTACCAGCTCCGGTCGAAAAGTCACCTTTCCAAAGAAATTTGAAACATTCTACTATTATTAGTCAAATGTCTGCGACATTTGATCCAGGGGGAGAGCTGTGTGGAATAATGTATTATTCCATCTACGACATTTTACGCGCGCGCGAGTTGCCTCCCTTTCTCCGACACTCGTGTGTGTGCGCGCGCGTTTTGACACCCCCCTTTCTCCCTCGTTCGGTCTAATACAGTAGTAACTGCTTTGGTCACCAACCAAGCGTCTTGCTACTACTGTTTATGCAAATTAGATTTTTGAAATCTTCCCGCGAAAAATTTGTGACGTCAACGACAAACTGTTGTTTCAGAAAATTTCAGTTGGTGTTCCAGACTCTGAGCTGAGCAGACTCATTTTTATCCACGTCAATATTTCAGTTCGACTGACGAAGGATATCTTACTATGCGACCACAAATAATTAATTCCTCGTCCCTTCTGGCTGGTCATTCAAGAATCCTTTTCTGAGACGATGCAATACCAAATAATTAATTTTTCGTCCTTTTGGCTCGTCATTCATAATCATTTTTCGAGACGATGCAAATACCAAATTTAATTCTTCGTTCCTTTTGGCTGGTCATTCAAGAATCCTTTTCCGAGACGATGCAAATACCAAATAATTAATTCTTCGTTCCTTTTGGCTGGTCATTCAAAGAACGAGACGATGCAATACCAAATAATTAATTCTTCGTTCCTTTTGGCTGGTCATTCAAGACCCCTTTTCCGAGATGATGCAAAACATCCAAAATATTAATTCCTCGGCCCTTTGAGACTCGTCATTCAAAGTCCTACTCCGAGACGATGCAGAACATACAAAACAATCCGTCGTCCACTTTGGGTCTCGTCAGAAATCTGTTTTGAACCAGTACAAAAAAAAAAAAAAAAAAAAAATACGTACATAACATTCACTCACATTACCTAAACTCGCAGTGAGTATTTTTCCTTGTATGAATATTACCATGTACATTGACTTACTGGAACCTTTTTTTTCTTCAAGAACCTTTTCCCGCCTTTTTAGCCATCTTGTTTTCCATTTTGGCGCGGAACTTTTTCATTGGTCCCTACCACGGGACAAATTACTTGTTTTTCCTGCATTTAATAAAAATTACTCTTGTTGAAACCCAGTCTTTTTCAGTCATTCCGAGGAGGCTATCTTGTTAATATTTTATTTATGCACGTGTGGATTTTTTTTCACATTTCTTCGTTGTTCATTCACGCATTTTTACTTTGCTTGTAGGCTCGGTAGTTTAGTGTGGTGTCTGGCACAAGGCCACTCAGTATAATCCAGCACCCTACCGGGTCACCCTACCGGGTCCGCAAGCTAACAATGATTTATTTCAAGTGGTGAAAGTCAGTGTCGGACCATCCACACTTTTTGGATCTGTCGATAAAAATGAAACGATGCAAAAGACTTACCACGGAAACTCCGAACGACAGTCTTCATGTGTTATTGTCGCTGAGTTTAAACTCTCCGGATCACAGTCAATATCAGCCAGTACACGCCTCTCAGCAGACACATTCAATATAATGACCGGGTTAAGCTGTCATGTGTTTTCCTTCCCATTTGAAGTCTTTTCTCGTGAAATCAACACTAAAAGGATTGATAACCAAAGCTCAGAGAGACTCCTTTCACCCTCACCCTGGTACTTTATATAATGCGGACATAGAAAAGAATACTGCATGATAGATAGATAGATAGATAGATAGATAGATAGATAGATAGATAGATAGATATGTACAAAATGGGATAGATAGATAGATAGATAGATAGATGATATGTACAAAATGGGATAGATAGATAGATAGATAGATAGATACGAACAGACTGCGATAGATAGATAGATAGATAGATAGATAGATAGATAGATAGATAGATAGATACGAACAGACTGCGATAGATAGATAGATAGATAGATAGATAGATAGATAGATAGATAGATACGAACAGACTATTCAAGATTAGAAATTTTAATCTGTTATTTTAATAAATCTATTTAGATAGATAGATAGATATGAACAGAGTGAGATAGATTGACAGGCAGAAGCAAACTGAGATAGATAGATAGATAGATACGAACAGACTATTCAAGATTAGAAATTTTAATCTGTTATTTTAATAAATCTATTTAGATAGATAGATAGATAGGAACAGACGGAGATAGATGGATAGATATGAACAGACTGAGAGATAGATAGATAGATAGATAGATAGATAGATAGATAGATAGATAGATAGATAGATACGAACAGACTGAGATAGATAGATAGATAGATATGAACAGAGTGAGATAGATTGACAGGCAGAAGCAAACTGAGATAGATAGATAGATTTCAAAGTGTCCTATTTTCGCAGCATTCCAGACATGATTTCAACGGGAGATTGATTTGAAAACATCACATCATGTATCTAAGGTCACTGTGCGCCAATTCTATCGACTGACGTCATCAAAAGTAGTATAAATCTATTGTACTCTCATAAGAAGAAATCGTTTAGTTTCAAATCTATCGAGTGTGATATATATATTCAACGTGGCTTCTTCGTGCTGGAAATGCTCTGATGGTCTAGAGCCCCTTCTGTTTACCTCGGGGTTCTTGATAGGCTGCAGAGGCGGATATGCAATATAATTGGCCCTGTTCTGGCACCTCGTCTACAGTCACTCTCTCACAAACGCGCCGTCGCCTCTCTCTGTCTGTTTTACAAATACTTTCATGGCAATTGCTCCGAAGGGCTGCATTCGCTGGTTCCCAGACTTCAAGCGCTCTACGAGGCTGGCATCCCGCTCTCACTAATTCACTGTCGAAACTCCTAAATGTAGCCGTCTCTTCTTCTCCAATAGCTTCATGTCTCGCACCTCTCACCTGTGGAACTCCCTTCCCTATTATTCTAGTTTCCCTGAGAGCTATAATCTCCAGCTATTCGAATGTAATGTCATTCGACATCTCCAGTTGCCTTGATCTTTCTACTATCCTTCTCCACATCCTTTCCTCTATCACTCCTATCTGATCTTGCTCCAAATCTTCTGTAACCCCTTGCGTCCTAGTGGCTTCCCGCCTTGCTTGGGGGGAAACGCTTAAAAAACAAAACACTTTACTAGTGTTACTTTTAAACTTTATTCTTCGTTAAATAGACGAAGATTACAGGTATTATTGATCTTTCAAACATAAATGCATTACTGTGTTAACTTTACATTGTTCTTTTTATTGCAAAAATGTGTGTTCTTAGGTTGCTACATAAACATTTGGGTAACTTTGCTTAAACTGAAATTTGAAGTATTTAACCGTACATTTTTAAATGGGAGTCCCACGCATACATGCAGGGCCATTGCTAGGGCTCGAACCCCCAACCTGAGAATTTTATGTGGGGTCAACTCTCGGCTACATGTCGATTTCAAGGTTTCCCAACCTGGAGGCCACAATGTCTCGTGGAAAAATTGGGGGGAAGGGCAATGCGATTTTAAATTACCAAAAATCAGGGTATCTAATTAAAGTAGGAAGAAAGGAGTAATCACAGAGGCAGAAAATATGGTCATTAGTAATCATGTAAGAAGATAAAATATATGGCCACTAGTAATTATGTAAGAAGATAGAATATATGACCATTAGTAATCATGTAAGAAGATTGAATATATGGCCATTAGTAACCATGTAAAAAGATAGAATATATGACCATTAGTAATTATGTAAGAAGATAGAATATATGGCCATTAGTAATTGTGTAAGAAGATAGAATATATGACCATTAGTAATTATGTTAGAAGATAGAATATATGGCCATTAGCAACAGAAACAGACCAAATATAAGCTACAAATCATGCAAGTACAGAAATTAAACTGTGAAGTGTTATAACAAAGGAAAATGAGACACAGAAAAGCATAGGCACATTTGAATAGCAAAAGCTAAAAAAAAGTATTAAGAAATAGGAAATTTTCCCTAGTAACAAAAAGTATTGAATTTCTATGTAATATCAATCTTCCTCTATCTCTGTCATTTCAAGTATCCTCTTCATTTGTAAGGAAATTGTTCAACAATCAAGTGACAGAGATAGTGAATGCTGAGAATATCACGGACAGAACATATAAACAATTAAGAAGTTTTAAGAAAAATGAGAATGAAAATAATGAGGCACTTGAAAATTCTGGGGCATCTATTGAGGAAAGAGATTTTGTAGAATTTACAAGATATACTGAAGGCAAAAGAGGTGGGAGGAAAGACTCAGTAACCTACATAACCTAAGAGTTTGTATACGTGGGTGGCAGAACAGTGACTGAATGGAATATTAAGAGGTCAAACAGTTCTTATAGCTCCAAAGGATAAACATAATCACTTTATCCCAAGGTAATAAATCCACTAAGATGCAATAGGTTGCTGAGTGTAAAAGAAAATGACAAAAAGAAAAAAATATTATTAAGTAGATTGAAAAATAAAGAACAGGAATTAAAATGACAGAAGATAATGATCGACACTGAATTTAAATTTTTGAAGATCAAATTTCATTGGAAAGCAAGAATCCAAAAGAGAGTTCCATAAGCAAGAAGTGGAAGAGAAAAAAGTGTTAGCAAGAACTATGGTTATATATAGTTATTTCAACTGCAAAATTATAAGATCTAGCGTTCAATCTAGTAAATAAAATAATATTCTAGGTGTCAAAGAGGAAATCTCACGGAGAAACTACCATGAAAATAATTATTGAAAAAAGTATAGGGAAGATATGATACAGTGGTGGTAAAGTGACTGAAGCTAAAATGCCAGGTCAGAACCAATAACATTGCAGATTCTTCTTTATATTTTATCAACAATCAAGAATTGTTGAGAGCCATCACTCCTAAAGGGTCATATAATGTGAGAATCCTATCCCTATGTTGCTGACTTTGGCTTATCACTGGCTATCAAAAGAAGTGAGATTTATCTCTGGCTATAGGAAGAAGTGAGAACATTCAAAAAAGTTTCACAGGAATAAAGGTCTATCTGTCTTAATCTAACTTTAACTATAGTTGTAGAGATATCATAGTAAAAGTTGGATATGATTTTGCTTCTTTGTAAAAAAAAAAATTCAAATTTTGATACAGTGTCTCATGAAAGATACTTGTTCATATTGGAGCAAGTGGGTATTCATGGTAAAGTTCTGTGTTGGTTCAAATCAGTCCTCCTTTCATGAAGACAAAGCATTGCTCTATAAGATAGCTTATCTTCTTTGCAAAAGTTGTGATCAGCAAGTCTCTTAAATTTTAATGGCCAATCAAAGAATAGGTATGGTTAAATATAACTTTACAAATCTTACTCCAAAAAAGATAAAAACTCTTTACACTACATCGACCAATACTTGAATATGGGTTTGTTCTCTGGAACCCAAACTACAAAAAACGATATTAATATATTGCAAACAGCCCAGGATAGCTACCTCACTTAGCTACAGGAAAAATCAAGCTACCATTCCTTCAGTCAAGATGCAAGTCCACTGACTGGGCAAAGTATACAAAATACTAAATACTAATAAATAAAATAATAAATACTAATTAACAAAATAATAAATACTAATAAAATGAAAGTGAATAATTTCTTCCCATTCTCAAACAGGGAGACCCATGGCTAATCACACAAGTTGATTTCAAAAATGTTGCAAGATCCAACTTCTTTGCCCATAACTAGTGGTGTGCCAGCTCTGGCTATTTTCAAGAAGAAATTGAAAAATCTTCTCAAATGGGATGAAGGACTATTTCCCAATTCAGTTGAACCCAATTTAGTTAAATTCAATACAAATTCATTTAATTCAGTAAAACTTACCTAATAAAATTGTTGAATTAAAAGATGGTAACCTTATCTATATATCACCAGTGTGGTTGATATTGACTTCTGGAAGTTGATAGGACTATCCAGGGCTTGAGAAATGGCTGGGTGTTAAAAGAGATCAATAAATAAATCACAGTGATTTATAACTAAAACTAATCAATTTCCAATTAGATATCCTTATTTACATTATTTATTTTCAAAATATTGTTCACATCTTTGCTGCAGATATTGAGAACTATTTTACCTTGTTCTTCCGAAATAGCGAACAACTTCTAAATGTCATATAAATAAAAGTTATGTTCTTATATATAAGATTTTATATATATAAATATATATATATATATATATATGTATATATATATATATATGTATGCATGTATATATATTCCTGAGGAAAAAACTACTAAGATATATCACTATATTAGTTGAACTATTTACTTAGTTCATGTCATGTTACCTGAAAAAGACTTGTAAAAAAAAAATTTGTAGATTTACCATATTACAAAATTCATATAAAAATTCTCACTTGAAATTTTGAACTTTAGCGTTGCGACTCTCACATTCTGAGATTGTACAACCATCAATAAATAGCACATTCTTAAAAAACATCTTTCAGTTTACAAACAATTATTTCGTCTTCAAGTTTTAACTTTAAAGGAAAAAAAATTACAGCCTGATGATGAAGACATGGATCTCCGAAAGTACTTGCTTAACTTGAAAAAATATACACTAGAAACATCTGACAACAATTTTATAAATGAGGATCACATCATTCAATGGATCAACAGTATTTTAATGGATGCATTATGTTCTACTAGCGAAGTGATTTTGCCATTAATCGCATTAATATTGCTGATTAATTCTATGTATGATTATTTCTTTATATATATATATATATATATATATATATATACATGTGTGTGTGTGTGTGTGTGGTTTCATAAAAAGGATCTGATATAAAATCATTCATTCTCTGATTAGTATTCTTATTTGTACAAAAGCCTTTCAAATCTTGAGCCAATTTTGTTGCTTTAAGTATATCTTAAAATTTTACTGCAAATTTCTTATATTTTACAGAAACTTGTGAATTCTTCCCTTTTCAATAAATCTGTGGAAATTTAAACAATGTTATATAAAATTAAAACATTCACAGTATAAAGAATAAAGAAAAATAATAAATAAACATACTGTGTATGTTAATTATATCATACAAACAAACTTTTCCCAGGGAAAGAAATTTCAAATTTAGCTGATACTAAAAAGGACAGCTAGCTATTTAATCCTAAATTGTTGCATAATCTGTCCTCTTTAGAATAGCTTACATAATAAATAAATGTATAAAATTAGGGTAATCTTAATAAATGTTTTTTCATTACTTTCTATGACCATGAATAATTAAGAAATTAAATAAATTAAACATTAAATACGAAATATTAAGTTTAAATTAACACATTAAATAATGAATGCAATCATATAATTTCATCTACAATAAATTTAGTATTATTAAGAATTTCTTTTCCAGTCTGATAAAAATTAAGAGAATTCTGAAAGCG